AGAGAGGGAGAGAGAGAATCCCAAGTAGGCTCTGCACTGTCAGGATAGAGACTAATGTGGGGCTTCAACTCACGAACTGTTAGATCATTACCTGAGCCAAAATCAAGAGTCAGGTGCTCAACTGACTGAGCCACCCAGGAGCCCCCAAAATTCAGTTTTGTGTTGATATGAGTTAAGCTTCAACTTAAAACATAACGCCTTTTCTAGAAGAATATTTGATTTGGGGGCTGTAGTGAATTACAGTCTCCCCCAAATTTAGGCTAACTGATAACTTCAGAATGTGACCTTAATTGAAAATAAGGTCTTTGCACATGTAATCAAGTTAAATGAGGTCATACTGCATTAAAGCGGCCAATGATTGCTGCCTTGGTAAGAGAAAGGGGGGGAGATTCAGACACAGAGACACAGACACACACACAAAGGGAGGATGGCCATGTGAAGACAGGAGAAATTGGAGTGATGCAACTACAAGCTAAGGGATTCCAAGGATTGCTGGCAACAACTAGAATCTAGGAAGAGAGAAGAAAGGATTCTTTCCTAGGGCCTTCAGAGGAGGAATGGCCTTACAGACTTTTGGCCTTGAGAAACATAAGAGAATAAATTTCTGTTGTTTTAAGCCACCTAATTTGTGGATTTGTTGCCATAGCTGTAAAGGACTGTCACTAATCACAGATCTCATGTGAAAGACAGCAACACTTTTTTACTTATAGAATGATCAAATGAGGGGTGGTGTGTCTCAATAGTATTGTTAATATCTTGGGTAACCTGTCAAGTGAGTAAATGCAAAAGATTGATTTCAGAAATGTGATCCTTAAATATATTACTTGTTTGTTGTCAAATCTCTTGTATAAAGTATCCACTTTGAAGTATATGAATACTATTTTTAGATCATTCTTACAAGTCCTCTCATCAAAACAAAGCCAACTGATCAAAGAAAATCAAAAGGAAAAGAATTCTCTACCATTACCACTAATGTTACATGCTACATAAGAGTGTCAGCACTTCTCTATTTTTCCCCACTGATAAGGCTGATAGTTTTTTAAAAATATTTATTTATTTTGAGAGAGAGAAAGAAAGAGAGAGAGAGAGAGAGAGAGAGAGAGAGAGAGAGAGAGAGGGAATTAGCAGGGGAGAGGCAGAGAGAGAGAGGGAGAGAGAGAGAATCCCAAGCAGGCTCCGTGCATAGCCCAACATGGGGCTCAATCCCACAAACAATGAGCTGAAATCAAGTGTCAGATGCTCAACTGACTGAGCCACCCAGGTGCCCTAAGGCTGATAGGTTTTAATCTCATGTGTTTAAGGTTACTTCAATTTTATTGAGCATGCCACAATTTGTAAATGGGGTCATGTGTCAGAAATGGATCAGAAGATTTTCCAGTAACTAGAATAACTCTAGAAATGCTGGCACCTTGACTTGACTCCAGTTCTTGCCAAATAACTAAGCATTAAATAATCATACTGGATAGATGGTTGTAGCACTGATTGGAAGTGGCATGGGTTGCTGATTTCAGTTTATGAGGTCAGGCCTGAAAGAGTTATGTGTCAAAGTGTTATGTGTTGAATTGTGTCCTCCAAAAATATACACTGAATCTCTAACCTCTGGTACCTGTGAATGTGCCCTTTTTGGGGAATAGGGTCCTCGCAGATGTAATCAAGTTAAGATGAAGTTATACTGGACTGGGGCTGGCTCTAAAACCAATAACTAGTGTCCTTCTAAAACTAGGGACATTTGGACACAGATATGGAGAAGCAGAATATTAGACTGATATGTATGCAAATCAAGGAAGAATTAGATTTCCGGCAATCACCCAAAGGTAGAACAGGCAAGGAAAGCTTTCTCCCTAGAGACTTGAGAGGAATAATAGCCCTGTAGACACTTTGATTTCACAGTTCTAGCCTTCAGAATTGTGAAGGAACAGTTTTTTTTTTCTTTTAAACCATCCAGTTAGTGTTAATTTGTTACAGCAGCCCTAAGAAATTAGCACACATAGAAGGATAGCAACTAAGCTAAGGGAATGAGCTGGACTTGGGATAGGGTTCAGAAGAAACTACTAATTAATGTATAAGGAAATGTCTAGAATCAGGTGAGCAGTTTTGGGTGAAGCATCACAGCTACCAAAATCTAAAGGAAAGGAAAATCTGAAGGTAGCATGACAGCCACCAAAAATTTTAAAGGAAAGGAAAATTTGTAGGTTATTGATTGATCAGAAAAAAGGAAGTTAATATTTTAGATATTAACCCTTTATCAGATAGATGGTTTGCAAATATTTTCTTCCATTCTGTAGGCTGCCTTTTCATTTTGTTGATGATTTCTTTTACTGTGCAGAAGGCTTAGTTTGGTGTAGTCTTACTTATTTTTGCTTTTGTTGCTTGTGATTTTGGTGTCATACTGAAAAAATCATTGCCAAGACCAATGTCAAGAAGTTTTCTCCCCTATGTTTTCTTCTAGGAGTTTTACAGTTTCAGGTTATTTAAATCTTTAACACATTTTGAGTTAATTTTTGTGAGTGGTGTGAGACAGGGGTCCAATTTCATCCTTTTGCATGTGGATATATGAATATGTTGGAGACTCTGACATTCGTCTGCATCTCTGGAAGAAAATATACATTAATATTTTTATTTATTTAGCTCTTATCAAGAATTATAAAGTGTTTCCCTAATCATTTATATAAGCGTTTTTAGTGAAAATTTTCTACATTGGTATGCACAAATACAACGTGATGAAAACTGGTTCTCGCACATCCTTTAAAGGAGTTATATATGCTTCCTTTCTTGATTCTCAAAGGTTATTTATGGGCTAAAGTACTATTCTGTGCAGCACAAATATTTGCCATGTTACGTAGCAAAGATATCATTTGCTCAGTG